TCTCTCTCTCTCTCTCTCTCTCTCTCTCTGGTTTTCTCAGCGCCCGTGCAGCCGTGTGATGGAGCCTGAAAGTCTGAACACACACAACACAACTTGGCGTAAGAAGACACCCAAAAAGTGTTTTCTTTCCACAAAATCTTCTAAATCTTTTGGGGATTATTTTCTCTTGGTCTCTTAAAAAGAAAAAAAAAAAAAATACCCCACAATTAGTGGCAAAACAACCACATTCATAATCCTTATCCCTTTTATCATACAAAATATCTAACGTATCCCTTTTTATTTTTTTTAAAAAATAATCTAAAACTATCCTCTTGATGGCTTATATATTTTTTAAAATAGCAAAATGCCTTTGCTAATCTATATTAGATAATACTTTAATTAACAAATTAAATTAATCGTATTAATAAATTATCATTAATGAGTACATTAGTAATTAAACTATATATAATAATAAATTAATATGCTAAATAATTAAAAAATAGTATTTAGTAATTAATTATAAGTAATTACTATGTTAGTAATGTACTCATATTTATTATATTATAAGTAATTAATTAGTGTATTAAGAAAAATAATTAGTATATACATAATTTTATTAATATTCTGATTACTACTTAAATTATTAACTTTTAGTTACATAATTAAATAATTAGTTAATTAATTACTAATATTTAATAAATAATCTATTATTTGATATATACATGATCAATTTTTTATAATTATTCTTTTTATAATGATTAATTACTAATTTTCAATTATTAATTATTATTGATTAGTATATTACATGTTGATAATTATAATTTAATATTAATTATTAATTGAGTGATTACTATTCATTTTTTATTTACCAACTATTTACTAATTAATAGATTATAATTAACATAATATATGATTGATATATTAATTATTAATTATTTATTTAATAACTCATTATTATTTGTTTTATTGTTAATATGTTATATAATTAATTTTTGGCGATTAATCTTTAACTAAATAAATAATTATTATATTAATATTATTTTAATAATAAAATTAAAAACTTAATAGTAATATATTACTATTTTATTAATAATTAAGTAATTATTAAGTATATCTATTTATTAATTATTAATTAATATACAATATAATTAATAATTAATAATTAATTATTTAATATAACATTGTTGATAAGTATTAGAAAATGAAAACGGAAAAAGGAAAATAACTTTTAATTACTATCTACTTTCTTCACAAAAACTATTCTCATTGGTCGTGTTTGGAATTGATCTCGTTTTTGTTTTTCATGTTTTTTGAGAAAAAAATGAAAGCGTTTACAAAACGGCGTTTGGCGCAATAAAGACAAAACGGAATGAAAATGATTTTTTGGTTTAGTGTAAAATGAGAGAGAAATAAAAAATGACTTTTAATCATTTTTCATTTTTTGTTTTTGTTTTCTCCTCTCTCGAGCAGAGAGATATTAATGAATTTTTTTACACTGAAAATAATCTCTTAATTAAACTATCAAACGCATTTTTAAAAATAATTTTTGTCTGAGATTGAAAATATTTTCATTTTTATTTTCATATAAAAAATAAAATTATTTTGGAACGAGTTCCAAACGCAGCCATTATTTTTTGTTTTCGTTTCCATTTTCAAAACTTTTATCAAACAAACGCGATTTATAGATTATTTTTGTTTTCGTATATTCTTCAAAGACGTACGAAAATGTTTTCGAAAACGACTAAAAACCATTCTAAATGCACCCCATGTAATTTTCTCCAATTGAGACTACTTCTTTCACGTTTTAGATACGCATCAACATTTTGAAGAAGATCGCGTCAACATCTTATTAATCTTCTTCGACTTCAATCCGAGGAAGAATTAACAAATAAAACTAAATCCTTAATCTACATATCAAGCATTGTATAGAAAACATTCATTCAACAAAGAATTAATAAACATAAAATTATTTCTTATCCAAGGTGACGGAGTCTGGGGTGACAGTGTCATTGTTGCCGATTTGGTGGGGGAGCAACTGACACAAAACAGGGCACATAGATCAGTGCGGGGAATTGAGATCAAGTTAAGGGAGTTGGGGTTTTCTAATTTTTTCAATTGTTTGAATTTTTTTAGTTTTATTAAAATTGTTTAGAATAATGTAGAATATAGGTTGGGACACTTGTCCGCCTTGAACTATTGACGTTGGAATAAAATGTCTCCTAAAGTTTAAAAATAATAAATTTTTTCCCTGAACAATTCACCGTTAACACGCGTCTTACTTTTCCGTTCCCTCGGTTAAATTTTAAACGTTAAGTGATACGTGAAAATCGCTGAGGCATTTAATTTTTATTCTATTATGAAATGATGATTTTATCCATCAAAACCCAACCCAAGACCACTATGAACATATGACGATTTCCTTCTCCCTCTCATTCTCGCTTCCCCTCTCTCTCTCTCTCTCTCATTTTTGTTCTCTCTTCCTTCTTTCTTTGCACGTGAAAAACCAAGCCCCACTGCCACTTTGAGCCGCCACTATTTGGCCTCCGGCCGTCACCAAATGCTGACCACCCATGGAGCCCGCCAACAAAAACCTTCAGAACCGAAATCTCGTTGCTAATCTTGCCGTCATTTACCTACAAGCGTCGGTTAAAGTTTTGGTCCATTTTGTCTCCACACCGAATTCCAACGTCATCTGACTTTCATTTCACCGGCAAGTTATACCATTATATTCCGTTCGCTGAGTGGAGCAAAACCTACATGATTACTTCCTCGATTAGTGTCAAAGGTGCTCCAATGTACCGTCTCTGTCTATTTTGAGTTTTGGACATTTTTCGACGAACCAGACGTCATTTGGAGAAATCGACCCCGGATAAGTGTTCTTCACTTCGAGATCTTTGATTTGACACACATCCTGCTGACCCCCCATCCCGGTCAATGCCGGTCAACGGTGAGTTTGACCGATCAACGGCTGGACTTAGATGGGTAAAATCGTCATTTTATAATATAATAAAAATTAAATGTCTCAGTGATTTTCACGTGTCACTTAACGTTCAAAATTTAATCGAGGGGGCGGAAAAGAGAGACACGTGCTAATGGCGAATTGTTCAGGGGAAATTTTTTTTTATTTTTAAACTTTATGAGGTATTTTGTTACAAGGCCAATAGTTCAGGAGAGACAAATGTAATTTATCTTATAGGACTTATAAATTTTGGGTATTTCAAAAAGAATATATATATTCAAACTTAAGCGCTTAATCGGTTACTTTAAGATCGTTTTGGAATAATATAAAACATAGATTATAAAGTTTCGGTATTTTTTAAAATGTTTAAATTTAAGCATTTAATGAGTTAATTTTAAGACCGTTGTAAGAAACATAAAGAGATACTTTTTTTTTTGTTTTGCTGGTTAACAACATAACTAAATACTGAAAAGCATTTTAGGTATTTTTTTTCTTTAATTTTTGTCACTATCAAAATTCAAAGCTTTGTTTGTTAGATCCTTAATCTAATATTGAGTTTATATATGAATAATTGTGTTATAAACTGTTATATAAGATTAAACTCATTTAAAAATGATCTATTAAGATTTAGGTAATTTAGGTTTTAATGTATTTAATAGGGTGTAAACCTTAATGTGTAGAGACTTAAGAGTAATTTTTATTTTTATGATGAGTTAAAATAAAAATACCAAAAGATAACAGGAATGTTATCTATATATAGTAATTATGATCCCAGATCACACAGATTATCATCATTTTATTCTTTTTTGACATTCCATCATCAGAGAGAGCAAAGAGAAAATTAAGAATTCTCTACGAAAACGTATTGATTTGAAAGACAAACTGTACAACTTTAAAAAATAATTTACTGTTATAGATTCAGATACATTTTTACTTAATATTCGGTTGATTCTTAGAATGTGTTTGATTGATGTATTTGTGTTATAATTTAAATCGTTATTCGTAATTTATTACAATATTTTTTCTCATAAAAATATACATAAATTAAAAATAATTCTTAAAATAATTTCAGCCCATAAACGTCCACTTAACATAAATATTTTTTAAATTTTGAGAGATGTTTTACCTGTAAGAATATTTTCTAACATTGTGTTGTGGCTTTAATCCAAAGCTGGGTTTGGCATTGTTTGGCCCTATAAGAAGCTGCAAAATCTAGTGCTTCCTTTATAGTATAGTTCACAAGGTACACTACTCATGGGAAATCGTAAGCTGAACAAACAGAGAAGTACTTTTGGGAAGGTACAGCCTTACAGAGGACCCCAGTGATTGATTAGACAGATGGATGGATTTTGATGAGCCTCATCCATTGTCATGATGATCATCATGTGACAAATCCAATAAGTTATGGAATGTGGGTCCTCCCTTCTTTTTTTTTTTTTAATTTCTCTAATTTTTAGATTAGTTTAACAAAATTTTTTTAAAATATTTTTTGCATTTTCCTGTCTCTGTGATACCCTTTACGCTGATAAGACTAGACCCAACCAGAAACTAGTGTCAAAGTGTCAACGCCGTTAGATTTTTCGAAATAAAGTAGTTAGCTTGTCGCTTCCGCTCATTTGATTGAATTTTATTATAATAAAAATATTCTAATAAATAATCACATTTAATTTTTTTATTATAATAAAAAATTTATCATAAAATCACATCTTAACTCAAATTAAAATTTAAAATTAATAAATTAAATAAATTAAAATTTTAAAAATATTATTAGTCACAATAGGTGCAAGCAACAACCCATCACCAAACACACTGTTTTGTGAAGAATGGTGGGCCCATCTAACCCTCCACAATCCCTAACCATGTTCCAAATGGGCCCACCACACAAGCATGCATGATTTCAAAGTTACCATGCATACAAGCATTGAAGAAAGAAAAAAGAAGTGGGTGCAATTTAATAAGGCTAAAGAACAGTGCATATGAGCAATTAGGCAAAAACATAAAAACAAAAAAAACAAAAAAAAAAAAACAAAAAAACAAAAAAAAGGGACATTGTGGTGCCAAATATAGAATAAGAAATAGACAAATAGAGATTATAAAGAGAAAATATTGGACTTTTTGGGAAAGAAATGGGCAGAGAGAGATGGGTTTTTTTTTTTTTTTTTTGACTCCCATTTCTTTTCTTCATTTTCATCTTATTTTCGTTTTGCGACATATAAACACATATAAACATCTCCATGAAAAACAGAGAGAAGAAGAGAAGCCACAAAGCCCAGTAGAGCTTTGTTTGTCCCCTTACCCACTTACATTCTTCCTTCCCCTAAGAGCTTTAATATTATCATTAAATAAATACCTATGGATAATTAACCTCCTAATTCAACTTAGGATTATAAAAAAGGGTAAAATTTGAGAAGGAAAAAAAAAGAGAAACTAAAAACGAAAATGAAAAAAGAAAAAGAAAAACCCATTTCCATGTATAATATGGCATCATCAGACTTGTTTTTTTTAGTCCTTAACTATTTGACTGAAGAACCACAAACTTTTTCTCTCACATCACATTGCAACTTGAGGTGTTCTCATCACTGAAGAAGTGGGCATACTGTGGCTCCGGCGGCGGCGGATGGTGGTGGTGGTACGGCGCGTAGGGGTACGGTTGCGGCGGCATGTAATTTACCGCGGGCGGAGGGCGGGCGTACATCATGGGCTGAAATCTCTCATTCCCCATGGCCCTCTGCTGGTTCATCACAGCCGCCAAGTACTGCTGCTGGTGGTAAGGGTTCCCCGGCATAGCATCCGGCCCCGCCCCTTGAAAGTACCCGGCGCCGGCGCCACCGCTGTTCGCCGGCAGGCCTTGGACGGCCGGGATTTGGCCCATCGGAATATTACCCATCTGGCCCGTTGGGCCCGTTGGGCCCATTGCCATGTTCATGTTCCCCATCTGACCACCACCACCACCACCACCACCACCCCCCATGTTCCCTCCTGGTGGCATCATCCCCCCACCACCACCACCACCCCCACCCAAATGTTGAAACCCTTTGTTCATAGCTTGAATACCTTCACTCATATTCATCCCACCACTTCCATTTCCACCTTTTTTACCACCACCATTATTACTCACATTCCCACCATTACCATTACCCCCAATCTTGGCCCCACCACCACCATTTTTACCCCCATCTGGTAAACCCCCACCATTTTTACCCCCATTTTTACCACCACCATTTTGATTCTGACCATTGTTACCACCACCATTACCACCACCACCTTTCTTTCCTCCATTTCCATTTTTACCCTCACTATTAGGGATATTTACCTGAACACCCCCACCCCCACCTCCACCACCTTTCTTCCCATTATTACCACCACCACCACCACTATTAACATTCCCGCCCTTTTGACCGTTCATCATCTGCGCGTTCATCAAGCCGTTCATGATCATCATGTTAGGCCCCCCGGGCCCACCCCCACCCATGACAGCAGGCTTCATCTTGTTGATTGGGGGGTGGATATCATCCATGTCATCGTCAAACTCATCGTCGTCGTAGTCGTCGTCATCGTCATAGTAATCGTCATCGCTCATTTCGTCGTCCTCGGGGACGCTAAACTTGACCGCTTTCTGGTTGTTGGGGTGGCCGCCGTTCATGTTCTTGTTCGCATTCGGCATCATCTGCTGCATGCCCTTCAACTGCGGGAGCTTCAGATCTTGAAGCCCTTTCATGTTCTGCAGCTGCTGAAGCTGCTGAATCTGCTGCAGCTGCTGCTGAATCTGCTGCTGCTGAATCAGCTGCTGCTGCTGTTGCTGCTGCTGCTGCTGCGGGTTTCCGCCTCCGTTTTGTTGCCCTCCGCCTTTTCCTTGGCTGTTGTTATTGCCACCCTTTTGACCCTTGTTGTTGTTGTTGATTCCACCTTTGCCATTGTCGTTAATTTGCATGTTCTTGAACTGATTCACAAGGTTGTTGTTGTTGTTGTTGGATTTTGGGACACCCCAGAGCTCCGCATGTTTGCCGGATTTGCCCAACTTCCTGATGAGAACAGCGGGGTCAACATTGCCGGAAACGGTCACTTTTCCCTGCTCGGCGTCTATGTCGGTGGTGAAAACGCCTAAGAGTATAACATTTTTTTTTTTTAATATGGGATTTTAGTCATGTGAATGACGGTGAAAAATGGGGTGAAATACTTAAAAAAAAAAAGGAAATATTATGCAGTATATACATACATATACATATTTATTACATACCATCAATTTTTTGGAGGATTTTCTTGACTTTTTGTTTACACCCATCACAGTGTATATTCACTTTGAGGACACATTTCTGCGTGTACAAGCAACCCAAAGCGCAAAAAAAGGAGTAAAGAGAAATATCATTTTTTGAAAAAGAAACAGAGAAACAAAGAAAAGGATATTCAGTTCACTAAGCTACAAGATATATATATTATTATTATGTGCAGAAACTAACAAAAAGAAAAATAATGGAGATAAATCTGAAACAAAATCTGTTTTTTTTTTAGTTCACAGAGAGTAAACTTCTTATCTTCAAAATAAAATGAAATACAAATGGTGAGTGAAAGAGTGTACCTGGATCTTCAAAAACTCTTCTTTACTCATGGTTTACCACTCAAATGCACCAAACAGAAAGGTACAATATTGGACAGAGAAAGGAAAGGAAAAAAAAAGTTATTGATAGATCTAAGTAAGGACCAGAAATAGCTGAGCTCAAACAGAGGAGAGAAGAGAGAGAGAGAGAGAGAGAGAGAGAGAATTGCAGAGAGACTCCACCACACAAGCACCGTAACTTTGGGACTTTCCCAAGCCAAAAAAAAAAAAACACACACACACACACGCAAACAGAGAGAGAAATGCGAGAAAACAAATGGGGCTTTCTGATGAGTGTCTGAGCAGAGAAAGTTAAGAGAGCCCAACAACAAAGTTTCAGTCTTCGAGAGAGAGAGAGAGAGATAGAGAGAGGAGAGGCAGAAGAAACGGTGGTAATGGTAGAATGGACATTAAAAACTCCTCTGTGTGTCTGTGCTTCCTCTATTTCAGGGTAAGAGAGAGAAAGAGAGTTAGGAGAGAGAGAGAGAGAGAGAAAATAGCTAAAACAAAGTGCAAGGAGCACTGTCACAGAGAGAGGAGAGAGAGAGTTGTGTATAACTCTTCAATGAAGGCTTGTTTCTTCTTCTTCTCTCTTTTGTTTTGGTCCTTTATTTATTGGTTTTTTTGGCTTAGCAATAATATTGATTTTTGGCTTAACATATTTGAGGGAGTCTGTGACTTACTAATTACTATGCGTTTGTGACTGTCTATAGCCATGTGGAGAATTCGGCTTGGCTCTCAAAGCTTCAAGCTTTATAAGCCTTCGGCTTTTTACATTTACTTATGTGGCTTGGCTTATCCTTTTTAAGCCACTCGCAAGACACTTTATTTTAATTTTTAAATTATTTTTTTAACGATTAAATTTATAAAGAGAGTATTTTTATAGACGCATTGTAAATTTTTAATATAAATTAACGTGAAAATTTCACTGAAAATTTTTTCTAACGGTCTAAACAAAGTATTTTACAAGTTAGTTTTTTAAAAGAATCCCACGTAAATACTCCCTTTTATTTATTATACTTAATCTTATTATCAAATTAGAGCATTTCTATTCAACTATCTCGCTATTTATATTAAGATAGATCCATTTAGATAGGTTTCAATTTAATGAAATCTATCATTTTGTAAGTGATGAGGTTTTATTCAGAGGAGAATGAATACTTTTTTATTTTATTTTATCAAATTATGCTCAATTGACATGGTTTTTAAGATGTGATATTTAACAATTAAAACATCATCTACCACTGATAGAGTTTTTTTTAACATATAAATATATTACTACAAAATTATTAATTTTTTTTTGGGCTTGAATGGTGGTGAGGTTCTTAAATGTTCATGTTCTAGAGAGCTCAGATTTGTTTTTAATATTTGATAATTATTATCAGCAGATGTGAATGAACTGTGTCAGATTTCCTCTCCCCAAATTGGAATAGTGTAATAAATAGTGCCATTTATTGAGGGCCTTAAGTTGGGTGGCTTTGCCAAACTAATTAATTTTACTGTTTTTAGTACATTTTAGCCGCACATTTTTGAGTTGTTTAGTTGGGAGATTCATACTCTGATTTAAATCAAGGTTCATAGTTTGTTACAGTATTTTCTCTCACAAAAAATACACGTAAATCGAAAATAATTCTAATCTTATGATTCTAATTCATGAACTAAACGTCTCTATATATCTACTACCAAAAACGACCCATTTGACCACTCTTTTGGCCAATAACAAAGAAAAGATTTTGTAGCTTGAGATGCAATTTACTTGACCACGGGCTCTTAAGATTGATCTTTGATTTAGCCATGCAATCCTTATTATCTTTATCTTAGTTCCTTATCTTTTGCCTCTTAAATGCTTATGGATTTTGTAGATATGTGTTTATCTTAAAAAAAATACTGTGATAAGGTTTAAAAAAGAAAAAACTCCATGGATACCGGTTTTAATCCGTCGTATTATAACCATTTCAAGTAATTTAATGAAACATAATGAAGATCTGATGGTTAAAAATTGTGTCTTACATACATAATATTTTCTTTTCATAGAATTCTCCTTATTCTTTTTATGCCTTTTAGTTGCTTCCTTTAGCATTCAATTTCAAAAAGGAAGGTTTGTGTACAAACATGTATTAGAGGTTTAGCAAAATTCTCCAACATTTAGCAGAGAAACAGGATGGGCAATGTACAAAGTTAAAGTTGTATCAAAAAGACAAAAACCATATGTTTTGATCCTTTATGTGTTTATTCTATGCGTTTGATAAATTTAAGAAGTGAATGATCAATTCAAATTTCAAGGCTTTATTATTTCATGGCTCAACCAAGGAATCTAGAATAACTTCATGGTACTAGTTATTTAAATCTACAAACGGCCGTCATCTATATGTCAAATTCTTAAAAAAAACATCAAACCATTTATAGATTTCTTTTAAGTCTTTCCTCTTCAACTATTTTTTTTTTAAAGAAATCATAAACAAACTAAAAAGATCCACTAAGTGCATGAGAGGACTCTATGAATATTTAGTATCTCTCTTGCCGATCCTGCAAAATTGGCTAATAAGTAATAATACTCTTAAGAATGTGTCTTAAAAGTCTTAAAGAAATGCAAGTTATGTTGAACTTATCTGTTCTTTTTGAATCATTAATACTTATTATTGTACTATGGCTCTATGTGGAGAAGAGTTTCCAAATTTGGCTAAGCTTTCACTCGGTGGAATTTTGCATTATTTGTGCTCCATTGGAAATCTGAATAAAATTTTGACAAAGGAATCTACCGTTTCTTAAAACTACCAAACCCCTTTATTGTTTATATTGGAGCCATCCCTTGTGACTTGAAATATGTTGAGTGTGTGCGTGTGTGTGTGTATCTATATATATATATATATATATATGTGTTGTTTTTACCGGTTTCTAAAAAGAAATGGCTAAAGGTCTAAAATTGCAACTAATAAAGCTCTTTTTGTTTTGATCATTCCTTGCTTTAATGCAATTAGATAAAGAAAGCTATACAAGTTTAACCCCTTTAGATGAAGAAGAATCACGTCTCTTATGCGCTTTTTTTTTTTTTTTTTTGCTCACAAGGTTGGACCCTTCTTTTGTAAGCAAATAATTGTCTTCCTTCTTAAAAGCCTAAACCGTAATGAAAACCCTTGTGGCTCTTTTGCCCTTTCTTCTCTTTTATTTCTTTGAAAGATGCCGCTTTACCCGTGAAAGGAAGTTTGAATGGTGACAAGAGACCTAAACATGGCTTTCCTGCTCTTAACTTGTTCAATTGGCAACTTCATTATGTTTAAGCAAAAACCATGTTCTATAGCCTGTAAATTCCATTCACAATTCAAAACACAAGAAACGAAAGAAAAAAGAAGAGAAAAATCCTAAACGAGAGTACAAAATCTAGGATCTCGTCCTCTTAGCCAAATTTTGACTAGGGTTACCCCCAAGTAACCAAAAATCTTTTTTCATGTACGAGGGACTTGGTGAGATTTTGACACCATAGTCATCATTGGTTTCATGTTACATCACTTTTGTCTGTAAGTTTCTTGAAGGAAATAAGTTGAGCAACTTTGCAAAGTCATTGCCATTTAAGTGTAATGGATCGCATGATCACCACATGCATGTTGGACAGCGATTGGTAATAGAAACGGATGCAGATTTAGGAGGTAATTTATAAGAACTTTCCTACAATCCCCCGCACAACGGCTACACACTCGCATGCCATCTGCAGCCTTTCCATGTTATGGCTCTAGATTTTAGTCTCTAAGGGAAAATAATGATGGAGGTGATGGTGGAGTAGGTTTTGACCTCTAAGGAAAACACTTTCATTTTAGTACAACCATACAATTTCTTGTAGTGTTCCACACTCTCACAACTAGTCTTGCCTAATTATACTAAAAGAGAGTTTTTCTGCTGAGGTCCACAAGAATTGAATTATCAATAGTTCTCTGCTTTCAGTCGTCAGATCTGCATCAAAAACTGCCTGCTCTGCCCCTTCTTCTTTTTTTTTTTTTTTTGGTGATTCACATTACCCTTGTGCTCAATTCTTCTAAAACTCCATTTAAGAAAGATATCATCAATAATGTGCATCTCAAAGGCCTCCTTTTTTTTTTTTTCCTCAGGTACAAATTTATAGGACCACCGGCTGCCTAATTGATATGCACATGTAATGTACCGCACATGTACTGGAGACGTAATTTTCCCATGACATGTAGAGGAAACTAAATATGTTTTGCTAACATACAAAGAATGAATGTTCCGAGAATGAACTGTAGGCAAAAATTTTCAGATAAGAAAATGCAAGACGAGAATGGGGAAATGGAGTTTAGAAGAATTCCTTCGGGAAGTGTACGTACATACACACACACACATACATATATATACGTATATATATGTATGTGTGTTATACAAGTGAATAACCATTGATTATTGGACTTGTAAAGAGTATAGGTTGTTCATTTTGTACAAGGATCGAAACGTTCTTTTGTACATGCAAGCAATAATATTGCGAGGTACGCTTTTACCAAAGATGTAAGAGAGACAAAGACCAGTGAAAAAAGTGGAGCAAGAATTTTGTGGCTAAAAGCTTATGCTCACATAATCATCACAAAGACATTCCTTTGTGGGGAATCACTATCAATCAATGTGATGAATACAGCCATGGGAATTGGATCAGATTTGTCCAAAAAATTTCCACAAGAAATTTCACTAGAACAAATGGTCCATAGAAAAATGGGGTTATTAAACATAAAGAAATTTGTTTCTTCATTGGGCACATTTCAAAGTTTAGATCTGATATTATGCATATCAGTCTGTAACTCTTGTACAAAAGATAAAGAGAGAGTAGGTTTATACTATAAGTTGCACTTTCACTCACTCAGAAATTTGTTCAAGATAAATGTTTTTGCCAACACTGAAGGACAATTCCAGCCTCACAAGCATATGAAAAGATCTTTTACTCTCTTCTATATACTAATTAATACCAAAACATCAAAAACGCATTTGTGAATGTATACATGTAAGGAAGTTTTCACAAAGGCAATTTGAAGGGACATGTTTGGTAAAATCCAAACTAGTTAAACGGGATATCCCGTTATTTTCATAGCTGGAATCACTATTCAACCTTTTTTGCTACAAGTTAACATATACTCTCAACTCAAGGCCCACTCTAGCATTATAGATTCTCAAGTTTGTACCCCTTAGATGCTAACTTCTGAAGCAAATATTCCCTCCCAGCTTCTCCCTTTGGTTTTGGTTTTGAGCCCAGAAGGAAAAGATCAAAAATAATAATAATAATAAATAAAATAAAATAAAAAGTTACTCCCCCTACCCTAGAATGTTCATTCAAATAATTGGTAGCCCTATTACCACCCTTTTTCTTGCTTTTTGACTCTAGATACACTATATGTAAATAAAGAATCTCTGACAAGGAGGACCAAGGAAGAATTTATTTACCTTATGAAGGGGTAAAAGTGCACAAACAAAATTCAACTGAACACTCCTCATTGACATAGTCAATATCATGACAATCTGAAACAACATTAAGTATCTGAAGAGAAGTCATATAGAAGATTGTTTTATCCACCTCTGAGACACATGTAAACAAGGGAGGAAAAAGAATTGCTTCAAAATATGAAAGCTTTACAAAATTTACCGTGCAATATAAATATTTATAACTTCTGTGGACTTGTTTATACAAGTATAAAAACGAAGTGTGTCCGACCAAGACTGTCGAAGAAGCTAATAATGCTTCACTCTACACCATGCATACAAGGTTAATCAAGTCCATCTTTGACAAATTGGATATGCATGCTCTATGATATCAGAAGGAAAATATAACATGTAAAAATAATATACAAGGCGGGGAAAAAATTGACGATGCACTCAAACAAATAAATTTTTATGGCCGTACCATGAAATGAAATTTGTATTTGAGAGAAAAATATATGTCACTCATCACCATTATTAATCTTGATCCCTACAAGTTCCTCAATCGGTTGACGACATATGGGGCATTTGTTTGATTGAAGCCTCAACTCTTTGGCACATTCACTGCACATACACTGGGCAACAAAGAAAATTACTTGAGAACAATGTATCAAGGTTCAAAAGGTACGAGGTAAAGTGAAAAGACAAGTGAATTTAACCTATGCTCGCACCCTCTTTCTCAAACAGAAGGGGGTCTAAGGAGACATGGAAAAAAGAACTATTTCGTATACATTATGTGTTTGCCAAAATTCTCTGTGCTAGAGAAGCAAAAGCTCAATAACCCCAATGAGCCAATATAATCCCAGGCGGGATCCACATAATAGAAGATAGTTAAGGTCTTTTCAAGCTAATGTGCCTGATTCAAATCATTTGTCATAAGATATGCTTGAGCACAACACCCTCGAGCGTTGCTCATCACTATTATATCCTCATGAGTAAAACTACAATTAGGTAACACTACATCCGATATTTCTAATAGAATCGAAAAGGAACCCACCATATGTCGGCAAGGTAAGACAAAGGTATCCTTAGGTTCGGTCATGCAAATAACACACTCCTTTCCAGAATCATTGTCTTTAAAGCCTTCCACAGATGAGCTTCCTATTCCATATATGTCCCGTAGCTCATAGCGAACCCCATCAACCCATAGTATTTGTCTAATTACTTTAACTTGGAAAGATTCTGTGTTTTTCTTCTCCAGCACAGCCTGAGTAATCTGCATATTATTGGATATATCTTGCGAACTACTAAGATGTTCTCCCGTCGAATTAGAAGGCGGACATGTTTCAGCAGATATTACGAGAGGGAACACATCTTCTTCTGGTGATGGTTTTGAGAGGTCATCCAACTCAAAGAAGCCTAAGTCAATGCCCGTTCCTGAAGGCTGGCGAAACCTCTGGCCACTTCCTTTCTGAAAGGGGATTCTCACAGGCATAAATGCCTCAGGATACAATGGAATGAACTTACAATTTGGCTCTTCCTTGGCAAAGTATAAAATGGTAATGCTGTAAATAAGAGAATACAATCGGATGAACAGAATAACATATTAGAAGAGGTGCAAAAGATTTTTTTAAGAACTCTTGACAAGCTATTTTCTTACACTAACGTGTCCCAAATCAGATAAAAGAAGCTTATTTCTATAAATAGTTAGCTGTTATTGAAAACTCACAGCCTATAATTTATGAAGAGCTTACTGCAAGATCATTCCCAAGTCATATTTCAAGTTATAATCTCATTACCAGAAGGAAAAACCTAAAGAATTCACAATTATAGGAAAGAAGAAACTTGAGAGATAATAACAGAGATATAGAGAGAGAGGTATTTTATAGGATTTGAATTATTGTTCAGCAG